CCCCCCCCCTAAAAAATCGCTCTCTAACGTGCACGAGAACACACAGGCTCACACAGTATGTATTATATTTATAATACATAATTATTCACACACATGTACACAACCATACCTACATATTCCTGCTGTCTTCGGTTGGCACTGATTGTGTTCAGGGTGAGAGGTCACCGGTAAGGCCATGGTCAGATTTGTTGCCAACTGGCGGGCCGCGGGTTTCCGCGGGTCTCTATCAGTATTAACACACGACGTACACACAACTCCAACCTGCTGTCCCACTTTCTCCGCTCTCCCTCCACCCCCCCCTCTCTCTCCCCCCCCCTATCTCCCACCCACTTTGTCTGTCTGTCTGTCCCCCACCCTGTCCTAACTACATTAACATTTGTAGTTTCCTTCATCATTGATTTGCTCCACTCTCAGAACGAGGCCGCATGTCTATGGCAACGTGGTTGGATAGAGGTGTGGGTGTCCGTGGTGTCTGACGGGGTGATACGGCAAACTGTCATGGGACAGTAAGTAAGCTGTAGGTAGACTGGCACACGGCTAGGAGACCAGAAGATACTCGCATCGATGCTAGAAATGGTAGAAACCGTAATTATATTATTATTTTGGGTGTTTAGAGGACTCCTGTGGCAGGTTTTACTTCTATACTTTTCATAATTTTTGGTCTAATTAAATTTGCTCTTTTCCAAAAGTAAATACACGACGGTTATGGTCTCTGTGTGCTTCTCTTAAAAAAACAACAACAAAAAACAACAACAACCAAACTATAACAACTGAGTCATGTATTATTATTTCACTATAGATTTGAATCATAGTTTAATGTCCGAAGTGCAGACTTAGGACTGACGATACCAGTTTCCTCGATTCCATTTTTAAAAATGAGCGTCGTTTAGTAAGGCAATTTTGCGCCGTTTGTTTTGAAAATAAAGTATCTCTTAAGTTTTGAACAATTTCCTTTCATGAATGATGACATGAAAGCTGTTGTCGCCAAAGCCAATGATGACGTCTACACGTGTAAATACTTTGTGAAAGAAGTGACCTTTATTAAACGAAAAGAAACAACTAAGTAAAATCTTGGTGTATCGTCCCTCTCTCAAAATAAATTGCGCGGTCATGGGTGTGCGCAGCTGTGGTAATATTTGCACCAAAAGTGCGCAGCTTTGAAACACTATAATTTGTTGATAGTGTATGACCCTGTTCCGGATACGGGCCTTTCATTGTGAGGGGTTCACACTGTTTTTGGGTGAAGCCAGTTGTGGTGGCTGTGTTTGCGTGTGTAGCCTATGTGTTCGCTGAGAGGGAGGGATATTCGCTATGACAGAATGTCTACGAGCTGCTGAACCGGATAACTATCGCTTTAGACGGTTTATTTGATTGTTGTTATGTTAGTAGTGGTAGTGTTGTTCAGTTGTTGTTGTTGTTGATGATGATGATGATGGTTGTAGTGGTGTAGTTGTTGGTATTGTTGTTGTGGTGATGGTGGCGGTGTTGTTATTTGTGTGTGGTGGGTGAACGTTAAGATATTATTGTCTGCCCCTTCAACTTCCCTTCGGTTTAGATTCTTTGTACTGTTTCCAGGGGGGAAAGGAGAAATACAATACATAATGTGTTGTGATGAATGGCTGTAAACAAACGTCTCCAATGTTTTTTGTTTTTTTTCTTCCCTAAGATGTGGGTAGTTGGCGAGTGCTCTGGAGTAGAGTGCTCTTTCTTTCCTATCAAACCTCTATCGCCCTTATTTCTCCTTCTTTTTTGCGTGTGTTACTCTCTTGTAACACCTTGTCTTTGACATTTACATGTATTGCCTAATTCGTCGTAACTGTGTTGCAAATACCGTAAAACTCTTACTAGAACTTTCCCCCAAGATGATCACTACAATGCGTCTCTCTACGTCTGTGTGATTCTCTTCTTTTGTCTTATAATCGTTGTTAATAAATCTTAATTAGCCTACATTTTATATTCAGTCACAATAACGAATGTTCGAAATCAAGGATTGGTATACGTGGGCTGGACTTGAAACAAGCGTAGGTATTGGCTCGACAGGTTTTTGTTGCTTGGGTTTTTCACACGTTTGTGAAGGTAGCAGGGCCGTGTGTTACTACTAGTCTGTAGCAGTGGGTTTATTGTGGGGCTAGGTCGACCAGGGTTCAGGTG